CGATTATCAATTTGTATTTAATGGTGAATGTAGTCTGACGACATGATCAATATTGATCAATTAAGTTTCAGTTGGGGGGGGGGGGAACTAAAGGAATTAAGTTTTTAATCCTACATTGAACTTTTGATGTTGTCCCTAAATATAGCCATTATTAAAAGTACTGCAAGTTAAACATAGAAACAATCTATCTGAATCTACTTGTAAAATATTTGTTCAAATTGAACGTCGTTTATATTTACAAGATACAAACTATAAATATATTTACTTGCTTCAGCAGATTCTACAGATCGCTCCTTTCAATAAGAAATTTGATTTTTTTTTAATGACAGTGATATATTGTACAAATTACTGTTGGAATATACGTCTTTATTTACACACATACATACAGAATTGTAAGAACTCCACACATGGTGTGGTGAAGTAAATTATTACACTCGTGCATGGATGCTATGAGGGAATAAATAAATTTACAATTTCACAAATCAAAAATGAATTTTTTTGATAGAAATTGAACAATCTAGAAATGGTATTACTGGTAATATTAAGCGACAATATCTGTGATTTGGAACATTTTTCATTTAAATATAACAGCATAAAGATGGCAAAATTCTACCGAAATATTGTTTTCAACAAATGCATGGGTCAGGTGACACTAAAAAAGGTCAATATCCCATAAAATATGATGTTAAAAATAATGGTTTGAACAGTCGGTATTTTGTTGAAATCAGTCATGCAGTGCTGGACGTCATAGTGGAATTATGATGCACATTATTACAAAAAATGACACATAGGATTATTCGTGATAGACCATCAAATAAAGACTCAAGATAGCAACATATTTGATCACTTCTCCTGGGCTCTTGGTAAGTTTGTAACGCTTTACGAGATTGGATTTCAATATGGCGCCCTCTTGAAACTTGGGCACAGCCTTACTACCTTCTTTTTTCACTTGCACATTATTTAACAACGTATAATGTTGAGATAGAGTGTATATGCTATACTTTCAGTGTCCACTTTAGCAATGGCTGTTACAAATTGACACTGATGATACAGGAAACGTTTTATAAAAATTAAATTAAAAATCTGAGAAAAATTTATAGCTATTGTCACTTTACTGAGACATTAGTTAATATCGGTAAGTTCAAAATTATCCAATCAGCAAACATCTCATTTTAAATATATGAGCAGTCAGAGTTGCTAGGTCTTGTGAAGGTAAGCACATACATTATGAGCGTATTGAGCCAATACACCATTATCCGTTCCCTGCGAGATCCCGCGTTATGTGTGAAAGCAAACGTAAAAACAGAACAAAGGTCATAGCGTCGTAGTGGCGACAAACATCGCATGGGATTTGACAAACACAAAAGTATTTTGGGGATATTTTCACACTCAATAATGTGCTGTACACATTTGATGATGGTCAATTTCAATGAACGGAAAATCACTAATTCATGACTGAATATTTGAATTTGAATACAAGCTAATGATTGGTATTTACAAATTGTTATAAATATGCTCATAAAAATAGCCACAGCTTTGTGTCTTCACTGTATATTTCATACTGTGGAATATTTTATTTTCGCTGGAATTAATTTTCGCTGAAAAGGTGTTTTGGGCGTTTTGTATGGAATTTTATTTCACTGATTTTTGATGAGTTTAATGTGAAATATAGGGAAAAGTGTATATTCGCTGGATTTTATTTTCACGGAATCATCCCTCCAGCGAAAATAAATTCCAAGCGAAAACAGTATACTGTATGATTAAAATAAACTATACTGACTACTATGGATATCTGTGTGTGTGTGTGTGTGGGGGGGGGGGGGTGAGTGTAAGTTTAAACAAGGCAAGGACAAATGAGTGTGGGCAGTTTGAGAGCAAAATGGCAGTTTGGAATGGACAGTTCAAAATTAATAAAATTCAACAGGTTTGGCAGATTGGGTCGGTGATTCCTGTCCTGTGTAATGAACACATGGTCATCTAAATTTACAATATTAAAGCGCGGTGGTCGTTGCGCAGCGCGTGTTCGAATTTCATGTAAATAAACAATATATTTTACACACGTTGTATACGCCGCTATGAGTCCCATATAGAACAGGACGCGGCACGACGACTGCCGCTCTTTAATCTTTTCACCACCAGACTACCTTGCCCAAATGTTTCTCCACTTTTACTTGTATTTTTCAATATTTCTGGAAATGAAGCCTGATTTTGGAGCCAACACACTATATTTTCAATGTTCAGTTTTTACTCAAAAAATTTGGTTATTTTTGTCCCAATCGTCTGAAAGAATATACAGACTATAAACAGGACTATTTTGTGAATTTGTGATGAAAAGGGAGAACTGGTGGTGAAAAGATTAGAAATCTTACACTAGTTCCCAGTCCTAATAGTAGTAGAAATCTCTACAATATGACACAGAGTTTGCTCCCTTGCTGACTGGTTCCCAGTTTGGGATTGTGTACCCTTGTGGTGGTTGTCACATGTTTGGATGGCGCTGTGGGTAGTGCCTTTGGTGAAGTCACATGTGGTCTTGGAGGAGGGTTCTCTAGTTTCCATGGTGATAACTTGTTGGAATCAGAATCACTGGCATCTGTACTGGTGCTAGTGGCTGTCTCATCACTATCGCTGTAGCAGAAATGACAAAAATATCTTGTAAACATAATGAAAGTATCAAGTGACTATATTAACCAAATTTTAAATTTACTATATTAACCAAACAGAACCTTAAAATACTGAGTAATAGGCCAAAAAAAAAAATATTTGTTTCTGGGCCAAAGATTCTATATGCGGTGATGTATTTTTTTCTCTTCTTTTATTATACACTGTATAAATTTTTATATGAAAGTCGATCTGCACATGTATGAACAAGATATTCCACCACCGATGGCAGGCATATCCCCCATTTTTTTCCTCATTTCAGAGTACGGCTGTCAGAACTCATAAACTACTGTAAAACATGTCTTTTTTGCGAATTTAGCAAGAGAACTGATTTGCTAATTCAAGATGTCGCTAATGACTTTATTATCAATTCAAAATAGCCACCAAACAAAGAAATCAACAATGACAAGAGAGATTCGCTAAATCAACATTTCGCTATTACGTCATTTTACCACAATTCGCTAAAAGTGCAAGGCGCTTTTTCAACATGTTTTACAGTAAAACTGAATTAAAATAATCAAGACCTTACAGAGGGGGGGGGGGGGGCAAGGGCGTTTTACATTTCCACGGGAAATAAAATGAAAGTTCCATTTACAGTAAAAAAATAGGTTTTTACACTTTACATATAAAGAAACTTTCAAATTACATTTTATAATACATTTGCTAATTTGTGTTTAAAAATCAAAATTGGAAATATGAATTATGACATTTAATGTGGAAAATGCTTTATACGCTTACAAAAAATAATATTTTTGTAAAAAATATGGATGAATTAAATAACTGATTAAATTTAACACCTTGCTCATATCTTATGAATTTAATTACATTATTACGAAAATAAAAACAATTGATTACAGCTTATGAAAATACCCCTTAACTTACCCAGTAATTCTTGGACAGTGTCTGACTCACATTTAATAACTTGATTATTTTTTACAACACACTGACTGTTATTATGCACATATTGATGCGAGTAAGGACCACTAAACAATATATTATCTTCTATAGTTCCACATGAGTAGCTTAACAAGGTTATACCATGGTCATTACCAGAATATACACGATTCTTTGTTACCTATAAATAAAACAAAATTTGGTTATTATCACTGATGCAGCTGTTTTCCCAATTTTAATACTTACTGAATTGGTAAATCTGGTAAACTCAATGATACGTTTCTAATGATTCTAATTATCTTGCCTATAATATGCACATGCTCTGTAAATTATCAGAAAAAATGTTGGTCACTCTACTGATATTTTATTGTTTAGCAAAATGTGTGGTTCAATCATGGGTCAATCTTAACTCTGTCCACAATATAATTTATAGCTTATAAAAAGAAAGTTTAGCCACTGTGCAAATAATATGAGGGTAGAGAAAGCAAAAATGGCCAGATTAGAGGGTAGACAATTATCTGGCCATCCATCAACAAATTATGTGTTATTTTTGTACCAACAAGGATATTATTTGCAGGAATTATTGTGTAAAAGATGAAAACAATAAATATTTTGTTTTTCCAATATTGCATGTACATGTGAGGGAACATAAAAACTGGTAACCTGTCTAAACCAAACAAGTGAACGAGACACCTGTCTAAACCGAACAAGTAAACTGGACCAAACATGAAAACTGGAAACCTGTCTAAACCAAATAAGTAAACTGGACCAAACATGAAAACTCAAAACCTGTCTAAACCGAACAAGTAAACTGGACCAAACATGAAAATTGGAAACCTGTCTAAAAAGGACAAATAAACTGGACCAAACATGAAAATGGAAACCTGTCTAAACCAAATAAGTAAACTGGACCAAACATGAAAATTGGAAACCTGCCTAAACCAGACAAGTAAACTGGACCAAACATGAAAACTGAAACCTGTCTGAACTGAACAAGTAAACTGGACCAAACATGAAAACTGGAAACCTGTCTAAACCGAACAAGCCAACTGGACCAAACGTGAAAACTGGATACCTGTCTAAACCGAACAAGCAAACTGGACCAAATATGAAAATGCTCCTATTACAGCACTAGAAGCATGTTCTTATTTGCTGCAGTTTTTGAGATATTACAATACATATTAGTGGTCACATGACCAAATACATATATCTCTTGTCGGATGTCTTCATTGAATTGAGTATTTTATGCAAATTAGATAATTAGTAAGCACAACTTTTCACCCTAAGCTACATAAACAGGTATATGGCTTTTATTAGTGCATCTACACATATGAGAAATGGTGAAATTTGGGTCTCAACTGTTCAAAAAGAAGGGGTGCGACTTCTATTAGGAATGTGGCTTCTAATGCAGACTTTACGGTATGTACCAAGTTTCATTGGAAAATGATGAGTGATCGAGATATGAATAAGAAAGGCTTCAAAAAATGGCTACTTAAAAATTTGCTAATTAATATACAAGGTATGGAATGAACACGTAATTTAATAAGTATTAAGTTTCATTGAAATCTAATAATTTTGACACACAGATAAGCACAGCACACTCACTCAATTTGAAACAAGAGACACATTTTTATTTCCCTGTGATGTTTGCCGCAGCTGCATGTCCATATGGTTTTAACATAGATACAACTGTACCTACTAGATTTTTTCTTTGATGATCAATGGAAACATAATAGTAGACTTTACAGTTGCCATGGTTACCAATATGAAGATACTTAAGTGTTTTTTTTTCATCAGATATAAAGATATGACAAGTAATTGATTATTATTTGTCATATCTATCCAACAGTTAATGACAATACCATTTATTGATAGAATTTTTGTGCAAAATATTTATTTATCTATTTTCCCTGGGACAATTGTTCACCATAATAAAAACCTCAGTCAGGGCCAAATTCAAATTTTTCACTACTGAGCATGTTACTGCCCATATATGCAATGTATTATGGGATTGGAAAAAAATAATCGCCCTGGAAACTCACTGAATAACATGTTTTCACAATATTAGAATTCATGTGAATAATAATATAAGGCTTTTTCATCTTATGTCACTGAACAAAATTTTGAGATTAAACAAAATTGTCTCACTATAGAAACTCAGGTAAAAATGATAGTTTTGAGCATTTTTCATGGTATTTGGGCGAGTGTATCTTCAAAAATTGTTTTTTTCATTTCAGTATCCTGATGGCTTGAATAATAATGAAAGTATGATTGACATATCTTGAATTTGGATTGAACTTCCTGAGTGGTACTTATACTTTAGTGATGTGTAGAGGTGAAACAATTCCATTCCATGAACTATTCCACAACCATAAACACTCTCAGCGCTATTACACAACCATAAACACTCTCAGAGCTATTCTACAACCATAAACACTCTCAGAGCTATTCTATAACCATAAACACTCTCAGAGCTATTCCATAACCATAAACACTCTCAGAGCTATTCCACAACCATAAACACTCTCAGAGCTATTCTACAACCATAAACACTCTCAGAGCTATTCTACAACCATAATCACTCTCAGAGCTATTCCACAACCATAAACACTGTCAGAGCTATTCTATAACCATAAACACTCTCAGAGCTATTCTACAACCATAAACACTCTCAGAGCTATTCCACAACCATAAAACACTCTCAGAGCTATTCTACAACCATAATCACTCTCAGAGCTATTCCACAACCATAAACACTGTCAGAGCTATTCCACAACCATAAACACTCTCAGAGCTATTCCACAACCATAAACACTCTCAGAGCTATTCCACAACCATAAACACCCTCATAGCTATTCTACAACCATAAACACTCTCAGAGCTATTACACAACCATAATCACTCTCAGCGCTATTACACAACCATAAACATACTCAGAGCTATTCTACAACCATAAACACTCTCAGAGCTACTACTCAACCATAAACACTCTCAGAGCTATTCTACAACCATAAACATT